TCGTCAGGGTTTCACCGCTTTCTCTTTGCAGTCTTTAGGAAGACTTGCTTTTTTTTTTTTAATCCCCCTTTTTTTTCCCTTCTTCGCACATTTCATGTCACTCGAAAATCAGCATGTGTGAGATCAGTCGACAGCCGTCTCTATTCCAGCTATCAGCCCGGTGGATGTTCTCGGGGAGATTATCTCCGTGTTAGGGGGACGGCAAGGAGGTGAAGGGAAGAATTCCCTGTCCTCCGATTTGCTGATGGACGTCATCATATTGGATATGTACAATAATAATATTTCCTAGGAGTTCGGTCATCCTCGCTTTGTCGGTATGTCGTAGACGATCTTGGGTCAGATGCTCATCTTTCCCCAAGTGGGACACACCACAGTTCCGTGGAAAATTGGGAATCGGGGGGAATAATCCAAGGTTAGCGCATTCCGCAGGGATCTTAACTTTGTGTTAGGATTTCCCGACCAGCCTCCGAAAGTCGTAGGGGTCATAGTTGAGATGCCTTTTCGCCGTCGCTGTAGCCGGTCTATCATCGGTTTAACGTTGCCATCGTTGATGATGATGCATTGGACTCACTCACACTTCAGATGGTCCAAAGATCTTCGATTGTATCCCTTTCATCCGATGAAGGATTGTCTTCGGGGTTTCCCTTAAATCAGTTATGGAGCCTTTCATCCCGTCCAGATGACAAACAGAGGCTAATATACATCTCCGGTTCTACTCCGAGGATATATTGTTCAGGCTGTTTTCAAAGGATGAAACAGACCTTAACACTCCGAGCAGTTGCCCCGACATTGGGTCGGGATTTTAAGATCCTAGATCCTGGCCGACCTACTAAGCCAGGTGACCTGCGGAATACGGAGGTACCTGCTTACAATTACAACATAGGCTGCCTTCGACTGGTGACATCCTAAGGACTCCGTACTCTGTACAATGCGTGGCAACCTTCAAGTCCTGTCATCTACTCCGTACTTTGTTCTATGTTGTACATCCCGTCTTATTCCCTCTTATATTATATGCCGTTTCACCCTATCACGAGGAAATGGTTGATTTCCAATCCATTTAATTTCTGGTGAGGGATTTAAGTACAATATTGCCCCCCCCCCCCCCCCAAACGTTAAAAAGACCAGCAAATCCACTGGAAACGAGCGGATCCCTTATTCTGTTCGCCAAATAGGCACACGACACTTTAACGGTTCCCGAGGCTTTTGGACTGGTTCGGCATAATTTTAGGATTGTTGTACTCCGTACTCCGTACTCCGTAGAAATTTCAGGTTCCCTTTCCATGACAATTTTACATGATAGAGTAGAAACGGAACTCACCTTAAAACACTGATTCATGTTCCACAATGCCCGACACGTGAGACAGTATGCTATGGACACGATGGTACGGAGTACGGAGGATATCTGTTGTAGTGTGTTTAACTAGGTTTGTTGTTACCCACCATGAACCTAGTGATCTAATTGTTTCGGGAAGGTGGTTGATATGTACGTAAAATTCCAATGTTTCTCATGTAGAAGTGGAGCGTCTATGAGACATCTTTATATGTTGCATCTATCCCGAGGTCAGGAACAATCGGTAAGCTAAGACATCTGGCCCTGGTCGATCCCAGACATGGACGATCTAGCCAATCTGGCCACGTGGAATTCCCAAAGTACTAGATTGCTGATCAGTGTCTTCCCTGCACCCTACTACAGATATCGGTCCAACTTGGTGCAAAGAGTCGATTTCATTTGAGTCTGTAGCTGGACGGCCTGAACTCAGTCGAGTCACGAGACCTGGTAGGATCTGGTTTGTTGGACACTCATCTCGACAGGCCGGTTATTCCATCGCGGATTAATCATCGATCAGATGCCACGGGAACTCTCTATATAGGCACACGCCTCTTGATGCTGTCGCCACCTGCGGGTAGACCAGTCTACGTGGCTTGTTGGGTAGATTATGCACTACAACATATGCGTGCTGTGTAGCTGGTATGCTTTGAGGATGGATTGCCCTAGGTGGTCATCCTCGTGAAAGTTGAGCGTTCAGGCTCTAAATCCACCGAGAGGTTCACGCATACTAGTTAGCCCCACTAGCAAGCCGACTCAAGCAGCTAGGGACCGTCCCGTTGAACTATTTATCTTGGTAGAGTGGAACAGGCTTAGTGAAACAAAACAAGCTTCATGACTAGCATGTGCTGGTGGAGGTCTACAAAGTATAGGTGTGTGAAGCTTTAGCGCAAGCTTAATATGTCTCATGCCATTTGATCGGATGATGTGAGCGGTCGAGCAGACATTTGATTGATTTCCATAAGCTACTTATTGTTGTAAATTGTAGATCCACTTAACTCAGACAGGACACATCGAGATTGCGAGGCAGCGAAGCCTCAGGTAGCCGCCCTGGGCGGATTTGTTTAAACCCGACCCATGATCATCAGAGGTTTGGCATGGGCTGGGTACAAGCTGAGCACACCTGCATAATGGCGTCAGATGTGTGTGTGTGTGTGTGTGTGTGTGTGTTTTCTTCTTGCTTTTCCATTGATAGCCACCATGGAATTTGTAATATGTGGGTTCGACTGCGCCCCGCTATTCCCGGGAGCGGATGTGTAAGGCGACATTACAAAATCTTGTTGACCAGCCACAATAGGAATGACCCCTGAACTTTGGCCGATTGATCGCCTTGTCGAGCGAAACGAGACATTACTTCAGTCGATCGCATGGGGCTGGCATTATATCCATTGCTGATTCAGAATCTGTTCTTGCTTTCTCAGGCATATCGAATGATTACTCAGACACAAAGCTCGAGCATGGACTGTCATCTTCAAGGACGATCATATTTGGGCATGCGCATGTTCATCATTGACAGCATATTGCCCGCCGGACCAGAGGCTCCAGCTTGGCCTTGAAGGCTCTCCAACAGGTTCTTTGCGAGGTTGATGTTGATGTTCTCATCCTCGTCATCTTCACTGGAGACCTTTCGTTTGAAAGCACTTGCTTCGTCAGAGGACAATTCTCGCGGGCGCCGGTTGAGATCAAGGATACCCGTCCCCTGCAATTCCGCCTCCATTCGTCGAGAAAGCTCCTTGATTTGCTCCGTGTCGTCTTCCCCATCCGAGTCGAGGTCTTCCACTCGTTTGCGGATGGAATCGGTGCCAGAGGGCATGCCCATCATCTCCTTCATCATCCTGGAGAATTCCTCTTCATTGAATGACGCGTCCTTATCCTCGCCTTCACTGTCGACGTCCTCGTCTTCATCATCATCGACGTCAGAATCAGACTCAAAGTCATCAATAAAATCGGCACCATCGAAGCCCGCTGAATTGTCATTCAGGAACTCCTCAAAGCGAGCCACGATCCGTTGAAGGTTTTCCTGGGCACTAGAGTCACCGAATTTGCCAGCATCTTCTCCCTTTCCTTCACCCCTTCCTTTCAGCTCTGTCTCCAGATCTTCATAGTTGATATCGAGCCATTTCTCATCATCTTCTCGCTTGTCCCAGGTTTCTTGAATCTCTTGATCGGTTGGAAGGGGTTCGTCCCCTGTTTCCACATCCTCGAGCAGGAACTTCATTTCCCTGACTGCAGGCTTATCTTGATTTTGAGGGTCATGCAGCAGCATCTCGAATCCACACGCAAGTTTCATTCCCGCTTCCGCTCGCTCATATGCTTTGTGATCCTCCGTTGAGGGCAGCTTGCCCGCCCAGGTATTTGGCACAGGAAATTCCTGGCTTTTGAGTTGCGCATATCCGACACGGGTAAATCGAACACTGACATCGACCAAGTCATCCGGCTTGAACACAAGGTCGGACGCATCCTTCGCTCGTAGTGGTCGCAGAGCGATCGGATCACGAACATAAAAGGCCTCCACAGCAGGTGAAATATAGGCTGGCTTTTGGTGTAGAAGGAATGCAGCCTTGCGAGGAATTGTGACGATGGCGGAGTGAAGATTTTCGCTGATTTGCTGAGGGTACTTGCGTAAACGGTAAAAAGCCTCTTCTTGAATTATAGTCGAGCGGAGAAGGCGACTGGGTTCGTCCTTGATAATTTTTCGTGCCTCTGAAAGTGAGATTTTCTCGGTGACCTGCCTCTTCGCCTCCTGCTTGGGCTTGATGATTCGGAGCTCTCCTTGATTGATCCACACCTGATCCATAGATTGGTTAATTGATTTGATTTGATGTCTTAAATAAGCCAACGTGAAGTGACTAGCCATAACTCACCCTGTTTTCTGCGACATCTGGCTCTATCCATGCCGGGAGTGTTCCCGCAGCCTCAATGAGAAGAAACTCGCCATCGCCGTCCACCACTTTGATCCAGATATCTTTGTGCCGCCTGGTCAGTTCACGGAGGAAGTACACAATGACCCATTCATCTTCAATAGAGTCGCCAAAGGTGGTACGACCCTGTAGTGAGGTAATTCCTAAACCCGGCGACAATTAGCTTAAACTTTAATTAGAGAAAGCATTTAAGAATAAGCGCTCTGTACCATTTGCTTTTGTAATTTCCAATCGAAAGGCTTCCCGCTGCCAAATGTAATCCTTGAGCAAATCTTTGGTTAAATCTGCTGCTGTACGTTGCACCTCAAGCAATCGTGCCCGGGTCTCGGCAGCTTCATCGATAACGGCGGGGGTGGGGGAGGGTGGGATATGATAAATCGAGTACTCGACAGCGTCATCGGGGAGCTCTGGTTTGGGGATAGGACGGAAGGTTGATTGGAACCATGCGAGATCCTCTTCGGAAGTCATGGTTGATCTTGTGCTGTCAAAGACCATGAATGACCTCATGCATTCTTCAGATAGAAAAAAAGCATAAGCGGCGAATTTCACGTCCCGTGATGCATAGGCTAAGCCAAATTAGGTTAGAAATCAACAGAGGTGTGCACGCTAAACCTAACACAGCCGGGGATAACTCGCCCAAAACACGTCTGTGACTGTCAAGCGTGAACTTCCACTCTAAACTTCGCTCCTGCCCTAATTGACGGTGATGGTCACGCGCTGAAAGGTTTTGGCCCACCTCTCCCTGTTCAAACATGGCCTTCCCCTACATCGACACGCCGCGCACCGAATACGACGGCAACGCGACTTACCTCACAACCGGGCTTCGCAGTGCGGGGCGGCATCACTTGTCTGCCCTCGATTCTCTTGAAAATTCCTTTCAAACACCATCCAAAGACAATGATGTGATTAAAGGTTTTGACAAACGCGTCACTCCGCGCGCCGGTGCTGCTTCGAAGTCAGCGAGAAGCGCGTTACGACATCTTCCAACAACAGCCCCCGCGAAGGGAGAGTTTACTCCATTGATGAAGAGCGCGACAAAGAACAATCTTTTGAGAAATATGTCTGCACGAGGAACAGATGGTCCGAAGACCCCGGGATATCAGCGAGAGACCCATCGCAGCAACGCCCACACACCCGGCTTGCCTGCTATGGACATGTCTGATATATACGAGGAGGATCGGACGATGGAAGAGGCAACCCCGGTTCCGCATGCTGCAAGCAGTAGTGCGCAAAGCACACCACTGCCCGGGTATTCAGGACGCAACGGAGGAGTCCTCGGTGATGGAGGGAACAATTTGTCGCTCAAGGACCAAGCTATGGTATGAAATACACTCCAACCACTAGGTCTGCATGCAGCTCACTGCAGGCTAATTCTGACGTTCACAGGCCATTGACCAACTAAGCAAAGTTAATTTCAGTTTGAAGCTGAGAATTCACTTCATGGAAGAACAGCTCCAAAAAGCTGGTCCGGAATACAACAACGAAGCCCTTAAAGAAAACAGGGAGCTCAAGGTCTTGCGACTCACGATGCAACGCGATATTTCTCGATACCGGAAGAGCCTCCAGCAGGCAGAGAAAGACCTCGAGGACTACCAGCTACAATTGGTGGAATTAAAGGAGAAATCATGGAGGGAGCAAGCGGATCAGACGGTACAGCGTGAAATGGATCTGATTCGCGAAGAGCTTGAATCGCGTGACAATGAACTTCGAGAAGCGCGCGACGAATTGAGGCAAATCAAAGATACCCAAGCGCAAGAGGCCGAAAAACTTCGTGACAGTATTGAGGACCTAGAAGCAAGCTCGAGAGAGAAGGATCGGCTCCTTGAGGAACGTGAAGAAGAACTTGAGGATCTGAAACGTCACGCCGAGGAGAATGGTGCAGCTTCAGAGCTCCAACTTGAGCTAGACCGCGCCAAGGATCAGATGCAAGAGCTCCATGATAGTCTTGCCCAGGCCAAGTCCGAAACCAAAGAGTCAGTAAATGCCGCAAAGCAGGCTATTGAAGAGAAGAATCGCGCCGAGGAGGAGTTAAGAGAATTGCAGGACGAAATGTCGAACAAATCCTTTACCACTAAAGGACTGAGCCGACAAATGGAGGACAGGACCGAAAAGCTTGAAGAAGAGATACGCGAGCTGCAACGAGAGAATGATGCTCTAAGGACAGAATTGCAGAGTAAAACCAACCATGCGACTCTCCTCGAAGAGCGTTATCAAACTATTCAACATGGACTGGAAGATAACGCCAACCAACTTGTTGAAGACCTTGACGTGGCCAGGCGTGATCGTGATCAAGCCCGACAGGATCTAAAAACTACTTCTGCTCGACTACAGGAGGCCTTGGATGAACTCCAGCGTGGAACAGACGAAAAAGAACTCCTTCAAACTCGCCATCATGCGCTGACCGATGAATCGGGAGGACTACAAATCGAACTCGACCGTGCACAATCCAGAATCCGCGAACTCCAAAAAGCGGTTCAAGACGCCACAACTCGCGCTCAGGATGAAGGGCACAACATTCGCTGGCAGCACAAGGCGGAAATTGAACGGCTGCAAGATGAGATCGAAAACCTTCACCACGAAATTGAGGAGAAGGAAGGTCGATTTGCAGTCGATCAAAGTCGCTGGGAAAGCAGCAAGCGGACTCTGCAATCAGAGAAAGCATGGGCAGAAGGCCAAGCGGCAGACTTGAAGCGCACTATCGACACTCTTCAGGAAGCCGGCAGCACACACTCTGGGAAAGAATCTCGGCTACAAGAGGCCATTGACAGCGAGAAAAAGCGCTACACGCAAGAAAAGGCTATGCTGAATCGCCAAATCCACGATCTTAAAGACGACCTTGATAAGACAAGACGCGACCTTGATGAAAAACGAGACGAGCTTCTTACGGTGAAGCAGGATGCTCGAGTATCTAAGCGCGAAGAGCAAGCACTTGCAGACAAGGTGCGTGCTTTGGAGGACGAGGTAATTGTTTTACAATCCAGTCTGGCGGATGAGCAAGAACTTGCCAAGGGTCGACAAAATGGGACATCTGACCTGGACAAAAACCTGGAAAAGTCCATCGCCGAGAGACAGAAGCTCCGTGATCAACTTGCAAATGCTCATGTTGAGATATTTGACTTGAAGGCTTCGGTGCAGGAGATTGAGGCTGAACGCATCGAGCTCCAAGCACAACTCGACCGAGTCCAGAATGCAGATGACACCACCCGATTTGACCGCGACAAACTTGAACTACGCAAAAATGTCACAAGACTTGATAACGAACTCAAAGTATTGCGAGATGCCAAAGCGTCCCTTGAGGATCAGCTCATCTCAGAAAGTGAACGATTTGCAGCAGAGGAGGGTCGTCTTTCGGCTGAAATTGATCGCCTTCAGGACAAATTGCTTGCTGGCTCAGGTAACCGAGATCGAGAACTCACTTCAGCCAAGACAAAGGTACAGCGCCTGGAGCGTCGCGCCCAAGAACTGGAAGCTCTTCTTGAGCAGCAGCTGCCCGTGGTTGAGAATGAACAATCTGCCACACATGGGGAGCTCTCTTTACTTCGACACAGCTTAGAGGAGGCTAGGAAACGTGAAAAGATCCTCATCCAGCGTGAATCCAAGCAGAAATCTTCTGCGCAAAGCTACAAGTCCCGAGTTGACGAACTAGAAAAGGATCTTCATGAGGCGATGATGAACAAATTCGAGTTGCACTCCCCACACAATTCACCATCAAACAAGCTTCATGAAGAGCTTCGCAGTCTACGAAAACAAGTAACTGAAGCACATCGATCTCTCCAGAAGGTGAACGCGAAGAACCGAGAACTAGAACGTGCCGCGATGAAAGAAGAGGACCAAAAGGACTTCCATGAGCTCCTCAGATCCTCCACTCTCGAGGCCGAATCATTAGCCCTGAAATTATCCGAACGGGAAGCGCGCCTGAGTGAATTGAAGACACATGTGCGCCGGATTCGCGAAGAACGAGATGTCCATAAGCGCGAGGCCGAAGCAGCAACCAAAAATCTCGACATGTTGCAAAGACGCCACGACGAAATTCTCGAGAAAACCTCCCTGTCCAAGTCAACCAACAAGACCAAGCATGAAAAAGAAATCCGAGGCCTGGGCAAGGAGATTATCTGGCTTCGCGCTCGCCTGCAGCGCGAGGAAAAGTTCCGCCGCGATCTTGCCTGGAGCAAGGGCTTGATGGAACTTGGTGAACGCGTTCGAGTTGCATGGTTCGCCCCTCCCCCAGTTCTACCTAACACTGTTTGCACTTTAGCTAACAAGGTCCTAACAGCAACGATGCCGATCTCCGCATGATTTCTGAAATGGGCGTGCAGGCCCGTGACAGAGCTCCTGTCCGCACTCCACGCCAAAAATTAAAATCCGCCATATCTCTTGTGAGGGCCGCTGTTCGCATGAAGAAGATGAGCAGCGATTGGAAGCGAACCAAGAAACTGGGCGAGGGCTTGAAGCGTGCTAAGACCGAAATGCTAAAGCGCCGTGATAGCTCAAATAAGAGCTTACTTGGCCAGTAGTCATGGAGATCGGTGCTATTTTTATGTCATTCGTTGTGATATTTTATCTCTTGTTCTTCCAGCGTCGACCTTCTATCATGAGATTCCCCCGACATGTCTTGCAAGTATACTAGTTTTTTCCAACTCGTTTTGTGTTTCCGTGTCTCCGTTCAATTTTACTTGAGGCGTTTAAGGGTAGGCTTTTGCCGGTTTGTTCGAATCATTTGTGCATAGTCATCCCAGCGAAGATTTTGACGAGTCGAGAACTGTAATTCATTTATGTAGCCTCTGTCTGTGAGTTGAGCCTTGCTGGGCATTGATTACACCTATAAGCAACGACGAAAGAACCTTACAGGGTTGTAGTTGTATAAAAGCAGTGGGCTACTCGCACGCTTTCCCATCACGGATATGTTTGCGGGGATAGCCCTGAAGACACATGAAATAAATGCTTAGCCAACGCCTCTCCATTGCCAGTAAGTGAGAAACGCTTCTAAACACCAAACTCTTAGGAGACACCCAAAAACACAGGAATTTGAAATGGAGCAAACAATGACATGGACACAGACAAAGCCAATGAGAAAATGGAGACTATGAGTAAGGGCATGAGACATTCAGCTTTCGTCCTCTCGGGACGAAGCCAACAAGCGAGGATTTTATGCTGTCGATCAACTGAGGTGGAATGATTCACATTTCGGAGACCATGATGAGAGGACAATCAGTCATTTCGGAAGACACGATCAGGCGCCCTCACTGCCGAATTCTTGGGTCCATTCAGCGTTCCTCGTGAGATCCTCTCCGCTAACGGTTGGTCGAGAGTTTTTAACGGCTTTGATGAAATCCTTCAGAGTGAGAGGTGGCTCCAGAAGCTTATCAGCATCGATGTCGAGCCAGGTCATTTCCTCTGCGCCCGCATCCCCCGGTGAGCAGGGCGTGACTTTCTCTACGCCCTCGTCGAGTACCTATAACAGAGCCGGGTCAGTCACTGTCAATTGGAACGGTAAAAACTGGGTATGCTTACCTTTTTATAATGTGTTGCTCCTTGAATCTTGCGGATTGGCTGCATCAGTGCATCCTGCACGCAAATACTAATATCGCTACCGGAGTATCCCTCGCTGAGATCGGCTAGTTGGCGGTAGTCGGTTTGGGTCATTTGACATGGCGTCGAGCCTACGGCTAGCATGAACATCTTCATTCGTGCATTGAAGTCGGGAAGACTGATGTGTACTCTTCGCTGGAACCGTCGTCGAATGGCAGCATCCAGTTGCCAGGGGATATTGGTTGCCCCCAGAATCAAAACGCCCTTGGAGTCTTTGCCGACACCGTCCATCTGTACAAGTAGTTCAGTCTTGATACGCCGTGAGGCCTCAGATTCTCCTTCGCCACGGGGTCCGCACAGCGCATCAACCTCATCAATGAAGATAATCGCGGGCTTATTCTCACGAGCCATGTTAAACAACTGCTTCACGAGTCTAAATGTGAATTAGTACGCAATTCTTGAAGCTCCCGTAGATTAAGATATTGCCCTACCTTTCACTCTCACCCATCCACTTCGAGACAAGGTCACTACTGCTGACACTGAAGAATGTGCTATTTGCCTCCGTTGCCACGGCTTTGGCAAGATAAGATTTTCCCGTTCCTGGAGGACCGTAAAGCAAGATACCTTTCCAGGGTTGACGCTTGCCAGTGAACAAATGGGGGAACTTGATGGGAAGAATAACTGCTTCCTTCAATGCTTCCTTTGCATTCTCCAGGCCAGCAACATCCTCCCACTTCACGTTCGGCTTGTCCGACAGAATCGCTCCTTGAAGCGCCGATCGAAGCTTTTTCGCTTCCGCATCTTCGCCGTTATCGTCATCTTCCTTTCTGTGCGAGCCGTTGTTGTTAGCGGGGATAACGTAGGACAGTGACTCACTTATAACACCGTTTATCACACGTATTGAGGTGCCAAAACGAGAAACTCTTTTGTCAGAAGAGGTCGAGTACATACCCTCCCTTCCCACTGCCTTGCGCCACCTTCCCATTTGCGCCAACCGCACTTGGTTTTTTCCGATCCTCGGCCAGGTGATTCTTAAGCTTCTCCGCGCGGTCCATATATTCACCGGCCTTTGAGCGGATCATCTCTTTAGATTTTGGGTTTTTCTCCCATTTCAAGGCCAACATGAACAATTCCAGTGCGGAGTAGTACATCTGATAAGCCTTTTCGTACTCGCCATCGTTGTCATTCTCGATCGCCTTCTTGACCGTTTCGATCGCCCGCCCCAGAAAATCAGTATTACTCATGATGGGCAATGCTTGTGCTGTCTGGGGTATAGGTAGGAAATCGACCGCGGAAGCAGATGTGATAAAGCGGGGAGACGGGAGGACGGGTTGGGCAATTGGCCAAGGCTGGAGGGATAGGTAACGAGCTGCTAGAAGAGGAAAACTTGAAGAATCTTCAATTGTAGAAGAAAAGACGAAGTGCAAAACTGCCTTAGAACTGAGGGTTGATGGGAATTGGAGGGGAAAGTGAAAGTGGAAGTTGTTTACGGGCGGGAGCCAGTGATTTTCCCTCCTCCCACTTCACCCCAAGTTCACCATGGACGCCCAGAAACAGCTTCAAGCACGTTCGGAAGAGTTCCAGGGACTGCAGACCGGTATGTGTGGACATTTAATTGATCACAGCAATAGCTACTGATCTTTCCCGCAAATTCAGAGCTTGAGGTTCTGGTCGATGCCCGCCAGAAACTCGAATCGCAGCAGCAAGAGAACGAAGGCGTGCAGACCGAGTTCGCCCAGCTGGACGATGAATCCAACATCTACAAGCTCGTTGGGCCAGTGTTACTGAAGCAGGATAAGACCGAAGCCACCATGGCCGTCAACGGTCGGTTAGAGTTCATTGAGAAGGAGATGTGAGTGCTACTACCTTTGCCACTATGGACCAACGAAAGTATGTGCTGACTGAGAATCTACAGCAAGCGAATTGAAGGCGAGATTAATGCGACACAAGAAAAGAGCGAGAAGATGCGCTCGGAGGTAAATCACCCTCATCCAACTGTAATTCACCCCCACTATGTTCATGTTCTAACCCCTCACGCAGCTCATCCAACTCCAAAGCCAGGCTCAACAGCAGGCTGCCGCTTCGGCCTCCTCATAAGATCAAAAATTCCTAGGACCTGCATGCCAAAAAGGATATATCACCCGGAGATGCAATAGGTGGCGTGCGAGCTACGAAGCTGGCGTTGAATGTGACCAACCCCCAACTGGTTCACTGTGATTCAGTATATGCGCTATGCAAGTGCGAACCCTATCTTGGAGGCACGATATCTCAAAGAATGCTTGAGCGTTGAGGACCAACTCCCAATTGAGTTGGGATAGCTTGGAAATGTATGATCTGTGCAGGTGCCTGACACCAGAACAGCGCATGGATCAGATTAAAGATATACCCTCGAAATTTGAATGCTTTGCTCCCAAAAGTGATCCATTGGTCTTTGAATGTGGAAACTATCTGATGGTGTCAATCATTCTGACCCGGAAACAACCAATTCCCCATAATTGCACGATGGTGTCTCCCTACATATGTAGTTTACGGTTCAAGCCCTTCTTGCTTTCTGTCTTTGATATTCTTTGGAAATCTCTCCCGGTTAGAAGATTCGAAAACGATTTTCTCAAACAAGTTTATCAAAATGGACGCATGTGAACTAGTTGATACCACGCTTAAAGAAGTCAAAGGATAGTTGATTTCTGATACCACAAAGACAAAAGGAAGATTATGTGCATATTGACAAAATTATATTCATTGGTTCATAATCAAACATTTATGTACGAAATCTTCGACCTAGGACTTAATCAGCAGGTTGGTACCGGTCATCTCCTCCGGCTGCTCGACGCCCATGGCAGCGAGAACAGTAGGCGCAACGTCACCCAAGACACCGCCCTTTTTGAGGCTCCAGCCCTCAGGGGCGTTAGCCATAACGAAGGGAACCTTGTTAAGGGTGTGTGAAGTCTTGGGGGTGCCCTTCTCGTTGAGCATCTCCTCGGCGTTTCTGCGAATGTAGATTAGCTAGCAATTCTCTTGAGGGGAAATTTTTCGTGTCTCGCATTGTCTCGCAAAGTGAACTTACCCGTGATCAGCAGTGATGAATAGAACATAATTGTTCTTCTTGCAAGCCTCGTAGATCTCTCCGATGGCCTTGTCAGTGGCAGCGACACCCTGAATGGCGGCCTCGTATACGCCAGTGTGGCCAACCATGTCGGGAGGGGCGAAGTTGTTCATGACAAAGTCGAACTTCTGCTCGCCAAGGCGCTCAGCCATCTTGGCACCGACAGCAGCTGCGCTCATCTTTGGGTCAAGATCGTACGTAGCGACACGGGGCGAAGGGATCATATCGCGCACTTCGCCGGGGAAATCCTTCTCGATGCCACCGTTGAAGAAGAAAGTGACGTGAGCGTACTTCTCAGTCTCAGCAATGTGACACTGCTGGAGGTTCTTCTTGGCAAGCCATTCGGCCAGCACGTTGCCCATGTGTTGCGGGGGGAAAGCAACATCGAATGTGTAGTCAGTCTTGTACTGGGTCATGGTGGTGAGGGAGATGTTCTTAGGGTAGGGGAAGTCGGGACGCGGGGAACGGTCATGGTCACCCAGTAGCTGGGTAATTTCACGGACACGGTCCGAGCGGTAGTTGAAGAAGAAGAGGGTATCGTTATCTATACAGGCTCAATTAGCTGTCGTGAGTTTACCTTTTGCACTCGAACCACACGTACCCTGGACACGGCGCTCCTTGCCGCCAACAATGATGGGCTTCAGGAACTCATCATTCTCCTTCTTCTCGTAGCGCTCCTTGATGGTCTGTACTGGGTCTGAGCTGTCCTCGCCCTCGCCAGTGACCAGGCCCTTCATGCCAACCTCAACACGCTCCCAGCGCTTGTCGCGGTCCATGATGTAGTAGCGGCCCACGACAGTGGCAACCGCACCGATACCGATCTCTTGGGTCTTCTCAAGCACCTGCTGCATGAACTTGTCGGCGCTCTTGGGGTCGGTATCACGTCCATCGGCGAAGAAGTGGATAAAGACCTCGGGGACCTGCATGTCCTTGGCAACCTGGAGCAAGGCGAACAAGTGAGTGATGTTAGAGTGAACACCACCGTCTGAAACCAAGCCCAGAAGGTGCAGACGTCCATTGCCCTCCTTTGCACGGGTGAAAGACTTGACAACACTGGGCACCTTGCCCATCTCGCCCTTCTTGAGGGTCTGGTCAATGCGAACACTGTCCTGCCAGACAACACGACCAGCACCAATGTTCAGGTGTCCGACCTCACTGTTGCCCATCAGGCCCTCGGGCAGGCCAACAGCGAGCGAGGAGGCTTCCAACTCGGAGAAGCCCTGGGCAGTCTTGGAGTTGGGCTCGGCGAAGCCGGACATGTGTGGGGTATCGGCCGCGGCGATGGCATCTCCCTGGGGTGGGGAGTCGGGGCCTGCAATACCCCAGCCATCAATCACAACTGTAAGGCTTACATTAGCCGGCATATCTTTGAGGACCTGGGTGGCAGTCAATCATACTCAAGGCAACTTTCTGGTCAGCCATAGTGGGGTTTGTTATAGTGATTGAATCACACCTAGAATTATAAGAAAATTGATCAATTGCTGAACCAAGATAAGTTTGAGAATAAACTGACAAAACTGCTTGCCTTTTAAACAGATATTTAGAGGAGAAAAGATCGAACGAAGGAGAATCAGACCACATACGCAGAAAAAAGGCCGCCGGTGAAGGAGGGCATGGGCCCCGACGTCACCGTCACCGGGTGCCAGGAGCGTGTTTGCTGAGATAAGCATTTGTTGCGGCCGAATCTACAGGGTAGGACGTCTTCCGGCCCTTGCCTAAAAACTTACCCCGGCCGGGATCTACTCGTCCTCCAGATACCTTTCCCCGGGATTCTTTAAGTCAACATCCCCAGCAATGGTTTCTCGATCCCCGCCAGTGGGCACCCCACTGCTGAAATCCTCTGTTCCCGAGACGCCTTTCAAAGATGCGCCAAAACCAGCACCGCAAACGGTACCTTTCCCTTCACCACAGACATTTGAGATAATCCCACCATTGCATGGGATTCTTTCTCGCTTGCTTTCCTCCAAAGGCCAGTCGGACGTACCCGGGGATACAACCGGGGTTTCAGGAGCTTCCCAGGTGCAGACCCAACAAACACCTTCAAACATCTCTAATGGTGCACACGATGGCAACACTACCTCTTCGCATGCCGCACCAGAAGTATCAGATCTCGGCTCAAGTGTCCGCCCGTCGCTCGATGTGAAAACCCTCCCTACCGAAACCAGCTCTGTCAGGATTCGAATTCAGAAGGCTCGTACAGTCGTTGAAGGGTTGCCAGATGTGCATCGGTCAGTCGATGACCAACAAAGAGAGATTTCAGAGCTGGAGGATAGTGTGAGACGTTTGCGCTCTGTCATCTCTGACTTTGGGAATCGAGCAGGAATGCTACATGAGGACAATACGAGGACCGTGGAGGCATGAGGACCTTCGAGGCATGAGGACCGTGGAAGCTTGAAGCTTGAAGCTTGAACTTTGAGACTTTCGGTTTACAACATACAAAAGGTATTCTCAAGTCAGCCAGGTGCTGCAGGATTTTCAGATCAATTTATTTGGCGTTTACAAGGAAATACCCTGGTGTTTTTAGCGATCATTTCAAGATAGCAAAGGCGCCATCGTTTCATTAGCTGTGGCAAATCCAGCAATTCAAGTTCTAGATCTTCTTCTCTCTCTTTGCTTGAAGAAGATCGAAAGGGAATAACCGATTCGCAGTTTAAATCTTCAACCAAATCACTTTGCCCCAGTTACAAATTTTATAACCTAAAACCCTAATCCGGCCAGCTGTCTCCGATATCGTTCGGTGTGTTAAAGTTCGGCGCCTGAGGCAACAGCAGATCCCCTCCCCCACCACTTCCATTTGATTTTTCCCCTTCTCTTCATCTCCCCATCTCCATAGCAATTTTTTCTGTTCATTCTCAAAAGACAGATTACCATACTTCATCATGTCTTACGCTCTTTCCGAGTCCCACCGGGACGTGAGTATCACATCTACCCTCATGTTTAGCATCTAGATCATTGACTCCGATTATAGCAAATGCACAACTCCCTCGTGTCTAGCGACCCGGAGATTGCCTCCATCATGGTACGTCGAAACTACATATGACTGGGACCTGCCATTGAATGCATTGTCCGCACCGGAGAACTGAGCTTTACTAATTCTTCTACTCGTGCAGGAGAAGGAAATCCAGCGTCAGCGTGAGTCAATCGTTCTGATTGCCTCCGAGAACTTCACTTCTCGCGCTGTCTTCGATGCTCTCGGTTCGCCCATGTGCAACAAGTACTCTGAGGGTTACCCCGGTGCTCGTTACTACGGTGGCAACCAGCACATCGACGCCATTGAGATCACCTGCCAGCAGCGTGCTCTCAAGGCATTCAACCTCGACCCCGCCAAGTGGGGCGTCAATGTCCAGTGCCTTTCTGGTAGCCCCGCCAACCTCCAGGTCTACCAGGCTCTCATGCGTCCCCACGACCGCTTGATGGGCTTGGATCTCCCCCACGGTGGTCACTTGAGCCACGGCTACCAGACCCCTGCCAGGAAAATCTCTGCCGTTTCCACCTACTTCGAGACCTTCCCTTACCGTGTCAACCTTGAGACCGGTATCATTGACTACGACACTCTTGAGCGTAACGCCGAGATGTACCGCCCCAAGTGTCTGGTCGCCGGTACCTCCGCCTACTGCCGTCTGATTGACTACAAGCGCATGCGCGAGATTGCCGATAAGGTTGGCGCCTACCTCATCGTTGACATGGCTCACATTTCTGGCCTGATCGCCGCTGGTGTCATCCCCTCTCCCTTCGAGTACGCCGATGTTGTGACCACCACCACTCACAAGTCTCTCCGTGGCCCCCGTGGCGCCATGATCTTCTTCCGCAAGGGTGTCCGCAGCACCGATAAGACCGGCAAGGATGTCCTTTACGACCTCGAGAACCCTATCAACTTCTCCGTCTTCCCTGGCCACCAGGGTGGTCCTCACAACCACACCATCACTGCTCTGGCTGTTGCCCTCAAGCAGGTTGACACCCCTGAGTTCAAGCAGTACCAGGAGCAGGTCATCAAAAACGCGAAGGCTCTCGAGGAGGAGTTCAAGGTTCTTGGTCACAAGCTCGTCTCGGACGGCACTGACAGCCACATGGTCCTCGTTGACCTCCGCGCCAACAACCTCGATGGTGCTCGTGTTGAGGCCGTTCTGGAGCAGATCAACATTGCCTGCAACAAGAACTCCATCCCCGGTGACAAGTCGGCCCTCACTCCTTGCGGTATCCGCATTGGTGCCCCCGCCATGTCTTCTCGTGGTATGGGTGTAGAGGACTTCAAGCGCATTGCCCGCTACATTGATCAGTCCATCGCCCTCTGCAAGAAGATCCAGAGTGAGCTTCCCAAGGAGGCCAACAAGCTCAAGGACTTCAAGGCCAAGGTTGCCAATGACAGCGTTCCTGAGATCCTTGCTCTCCGCAAGGAGATTGCTCAGTGGGCCAGCACCTTCCCTCTCCCCGTTTAAATGGAAAATTGAGGTCTGAACATGAGTTACGGAAAATCAAAGAGGGATCTGCATCATGATCCCACGAGTTCAACATCATTTCGTATAACAAAAGAAAAATTCATGGGTGCGTTTTTAGGGGTTAATTACCGGACTGCTTTTTCAACCTGACGCGGGTCATTGGGATATGGGAATGCTTTTTTGCATGTGAAACGAGCAATGTTATTTTTGGCGGTTGGGCCTCGCACTTTTTCAACAGCGGGCTCATATGAATTTTTTTTTTAAAAGGGGAAAAGTTCAATAATTGGGCTTCCTATCTATATTCTACAATCTATTCTCAACACAAGGATCTATAGAATCTAAGGACTACTTTCTTCTGATCTTTATCCTCTTAAGACAGTGTGATGTTCAAATTCCTGTCGATTGCCTTTTCTGGTCAGTCTTGCCTGAGTTTGGGCCTGTGCCTGCGTGATGTGCTTATGTGGCCTCCTGACGCCCTTTTAAGTGGTCCTTCAAGTCCATCTTTTTAAAACGGTTCCCCTCTGTTGATGTTAAAGGCAGAAAACAGACAGTGAAAACATTTCAAATTGAGTGTAACCTTTGATTGGAGACTCCATCTTTTCTCCCTCACCCAGCTTGGCCTCGCCATGTTTCCACCTTCAAGCAGGTAGGTATGCGATAATAACGCAAGCTCCCCCTCCCCAACATGAAGAAGAGTACGCCAATGAGCTCCGCGAACTGATCACGTAAGATCTGGAATTCTCGCCATCCTAAATCTCGTTGCAAGACCTCCCAAATCTGGTGAGAGCGAGAAGCTGCGACGGATCCTAGCAATTGGGGTCTCTCTCAGTAATTCCAAGGGAGAGAAAGCATAAGACCGAAAATATGGTCCAAGAACGTTGATTAGAATGAAGTACATGCACTTTTAACAAAACACATGTGTGTGCTGCGGACAAGGTATACAGGCAGCACCTGCTGTTGGGTCCACGTGAGCGACGGATTTGTCTTCTCAACCTTGGGAGACTCGCGATTCTCACTCTCTCTCTCCCTCCCTCTCCCTCTTGATTTGTTTTTGGCTTTTTATTTTCTCTTTACTGCCCTATAATATCCAGTTCTGCACTGCGTCAACTTTCCCACGGCTTCTAGTTTGGCTCTCGGAGCTACAGGCCCTATCGATAAGAATACAGCATCTTATCGGCTCAGGCCATTGCGGAGACCACATGCTTCCACCAGTTTGTGTCTTTAATTAAAGAACCGGAAGCAGTGCTTCTTGGCGAAGTCACTAAGAAACAAGAGAGGAAAGGAAATTACCCGATATGGCGAACACCGCTCAATGCTACTATTGCTTTGAGTCTCTCCTTACTTCATTCGAGGATCGCGAGCCCCCCACTCTAGTAGCCGTAGAGGCCCTATGGGAACAACACGAGCAAACTAAGAAGTTGTCGAGCCTTGAAGAGCAAATTGAAGACGATGCAGACCAACAGCCGTTCATAAATGAACAGGACGAGGATGACGAGAGCAATCAATCGTCCCAGTTGAGTAGCCAGCCCAAGAAGCTGCAACTTCGCAGTATCGGTCGCCTCCAGAGCCAATTCTCCGCTTCTTCCAGCGCAGCCACATCCTCATCGTCTGCATCGAATACTTCGTCCAACTCATTACAGTCCAGTTCAACCAATATCACAACGCCAAGTGCGGTTTCCAACACCCCCCAGCTGAGATCGCCTGGTCAGCGATATCCCCTGTTTGTGACATGGAACACCCTGTCACGAAGCGGACACAAGTCTCTACGCGGGTGCATAGGCACATTCGAGGGGCAGGAACTTGCAGCGGGGTTGAAGTCCTACGCTTTGACCTCGTACGTGGTTCCCATTGAATACCCCTCTCTCGCTACAATGCTACAATGCTACGAACATAGGTACATCCCTATCTATGTATCAGACTAACTTTAATGTGATCCTACTTTAGGGCCTTCGATGACACCCGTTTTGAGCCCATTCCCAAATCCCTTCTCCCCTCACTATCATGCTCTCTCACCCTCCTTGGGTCCTTCGAGCCGTGTACAAATCCCATGGACTGGTCTCTGGGTACCCACGGGCTGCGTATCTCCTTCATTCACCGCGGACGTCGCTATGGCGCCACTTATCTCCCCGACGTCGCTGTCGAGCAGGGCTGGACCAAAGAAGAGACTGTGGAGAGCTTGATGCGCAAGGCGGGCTGGGATGGTGGCGGTGGTACTGCACGGAGATTGCTACGCGGTGTAGCTGATGGGAACGTCGGCGCCACTAAGCCCTGGGACCAGGTCTCGGATTTCCGTACTGTCAGATATCAGGGCCTCAAGGCAAGCGCTAGTTATGCGGAGTGGCAGGAATGGCGAGAGTGGGTTCTCTCTCTAGATGATGGGGAGGAGATCCTGGAAGGCGCGGCTTGATTGGCATGTATCTCTAGATCGCTTTGCTTTTCGTACCACACCTCAACGCTTCAAGTGGGACTGATGATTATAATGACAATGACGATGCTGCTTTGCTAGTTTCGTTCGTGCGTTTCCAGTTAACAATATTTTGGCATGGGCATCAATAAGGGATGGCAATGGCCTGGGTTTTCGTTAGTCATGATGAGAATTTGATATGGCATCTCAGCTTCATAAAGACAGCGAACAAGCATTTCAAGCCGAGGCTCATTCGAAAATTATTCATTATAAACGCCGACATCGCTTACTGTATTCGATAATAGTGCAATATGCTAGAGACTTTGAAAGGGACCCAAGTGAAGCCCAGACCAGAGAAGAGCAGCCAGTGATTCTCCACAATCCGAACACGAACCATCCTGACGGACAAAACACAGCATAGACAAAAGCAAATGATACATATCCACACATCCTAACGTGGCGTACGGCTCCACAAACCAGCAACCATCTCCTTGACCCTCCGCTCCTGAGCCCGGATCTGC